GGGACCAAATGCCCTACGGGCTCAGTGTAAGACCCCAAGTGAGTGTTATAAAAACAGGTACATACGAAGGTATTGGCTAGCGATTAATTGGATTTTGTGTTTAGGTTTCTGTTGTGGTTCGATGGTTTACCACTGGTGAGGTTTTTTGTAATTATTTGCAGTAAACATTTTGAATCTTTCCAGGCCTCGTTTGATTAATTTGGCCAAAAAAGAAGCCACTATTACTTCTTTAAGATTGCGCGTTAGACAAGGACGGTGCACCACGTGTTGTGTAGACTTGTTATAAGATCTAACAAGGAACTCTCCTGGTGTCCTTATTCGAATGACGTAGGATGGATGTTACAATTTGCGGAAATTAAATGCTTTTTAATAATGGCTCGTTTGTGTCTAGTGTGTCTAGATTCTGTACTCTGACAACGCTCTGTCCAGAGGTACATCCCCGTATTGGCCATATAAGGAACTACACCCGCCGGGTAACCATTGAATGAAAACCACCTAGTACAATAGCAAAGTTTAAGAATACAGCATTTCGTAAGTCAGATAACTAATCAACATTAATCTAAATAATAAAGTTAAATGTTTGAATGAGCGGAGATGTTACGTGCTAGCTGACGTCATCATCTTTGTTTATGAAGTACCATGCATATTTCGGCATTATATTAATGTTGACGAAGTAAGTTTGATTACTCTCAAAAAGGTATTACAAAGTGCGATGGAATTATTACAAATTGCGACAGCTTACTTTATTACAAAGTGCGATGGACAGTTGTTACAAATTGCGACAGCCTTTTTATTGCAAAGTGCGACACGGTATATTACAAATTGCGACAGGTATTACAAAGTGCGATGGGTTTATTACAAATTGCGACAGGTATTACAAAGTGCGATGATTATTACAAATTGCGACAGTACACAGGTTTGCATGACATGAAACACCATCCAGACGGCAGTTTAAAGATTATTATGTTTTTCCGCTTAGGTTAGAATTTACCGGCTGGTGCACGATATACCGTAGCGAATAGCAGTTTAAGGCCTCACTAGAACAGTTATACATTTTTTAAGTATGCTGCTGAAGGAAACTTAAACAGATTATAAAAAATATATAAAGGAGGGGTCACCAAAAAATTCCTTTAAATTGTGCAGTGACGCCGGCGGCATTTGTAATAATGCTAACATCCTACCAGAATGCCAAAAACCAGACTTTCAGAAAGTTCAGTTTTCCCGGGGAAGCATGCCCCCGGACCCCCTGCTTTATTAATCTATGCACCAAAAGGCAATTCTAACCCACTAAAATGCAAAAGAGCACAAAAGCATACCAAATCAAACGTTTCATTAGGAAAAAGTAACAAAATCAGTTAGTCATTTTTCTTGTTTTCTTTGTCCTCGCACTCCTTCTTTCTTTTCCTTTCCTCTCCTTTTTTTTTGAAGGGGGGGAGGGGGGGGGGGCGGGGGGTATTTCAATTAATTTGGGAAAAAAGGGGGGGGGGGCCAAAAATTTTTTTTGAACAGGGGGTATTCTTTTAATTTAGAAGTTACTTGTCGAATCCCACCAGGTCCATAGGGGATGTGTTTTTTTTTTTTTTTGTTTCAAAATCCAATTACCTTCGAAAACCTTTTGAAATATGGGTATTTTTTTTTTGTTGTGTTTTTGCGTTTTCTCTTTTGTTTTTTGTTTGCTGTTGTTTGTTTGTTTCGTGTACTGATTTTTTTTTTGGGGGGGGGGGGGGGTGGGGGGAGGGTGGGTATTTCAATTAATTTGGGACAAAAGGGGAGGGGAGCCAAAAATTTCTTATGAACAGGGGGTCATCATATACTATAGCAGCTACTTGTCGAATCCCACCAGGTCCAGAGGAGATGTGTTTTTTTTTATTTGTCGTTAGAACATCAAAACCCGTCGAAAACCTCTGAAAAAATGGGTTATTTTGATCGCGTTACTGTTTCGTTTTACACATTCTATAGACCGCAAACCAAGAGACTTAGGGCTCGCAAAATCGGCTTACAGTATAAAATACAGAAAGGGAGGAAACAAATTTGGGGCCGATTCTTGAATCCCTGAAACTCAAACGGAATTGAATGAAATTAACTGATTTTACTAACCTGATCTAGAATTCTTATGTATTTGCCAAATGCTGTAGGAAAACGGCGTAAAAAGGCGTTCAAATTCATTTTCGGCGACCGAAATTTACGGCTTCGAGATAGCGCTTTCGTTCGCTGTGCACCCCAAAAGATGATGACGGAAATGACGTAGTAAAGTAAATGTCCTCAAGATCGGAGCGATAAAAGGGAAGCCTACACGACTTTTGCCTCATGCCAAAATCCTGCTCGTTCCAAAAAGTTTTTTTTTCCTCTGCCGGGTAGACTATGCTCTGGAAGGTTTTACATTTTCACTGAGCAAATGTGATTTTAGCGGGGATTTTTAGTAATTCATTTATTCACACGAAACTCCTCTGGACCCTGTGAACTCAATGACCAATAAGGAATAAAGCAAAATGTCAAGAATTTTTTCAGATTGACAATTCAATAGAAGGAAATAGCGGACAGCTACAGCTGCAGCTAACAGTTTGTGAAGTTCAAGTTTGTCTGGTGACAATTTAAACGCGCAGTTCATTCAATTTTAGCGCGGCAGCCCGAAACTCCTTCGATACAGCAGGTAAGAATGAAAACTTTTTAAACACTTGTTTGATAAACAAGTTTATCTGATAGTTTCAATCGTTTTCGTTCTGACCTTGCTTAGCAAACTTTGATGAATTACGCGGTTACGGTCAGTTAGTAGTATATAAAACAACTACAATTTTCCCACACTTTTTTAAAGGATCCGGACCATTTAGTTATTGTTCCTTTTCCTGGCAAAGCAATTTGGAGCAATTTTGTAATAACGGTTGTGCTGGTAATAAAAAACCTCGGAAGGGAGGGCGTACCATTCTGACATTTCCGACAGTAATGTAGAGGGGAACTTCTACAGACTTTTATACAATGATGTGAATGCTACGCGCGCTGTGATTGGTCGTTGCCCATGATCTATTAGAGTACAGATACATGGATGACGTCACGGCAAACTTGTTTTCTTTGTTTTGTTCAACATGGCACGCGGTTTTGAAAATGTTTGTGAGATTATTTCGGATTGAGGCAAGTGAAAGCTTCGGAAAAAGTTTAGCAGGAGCTATTTACAAAGAAGAAAAATGGAGAAACGGAGACCAAAAAAGCTATTGACTACTTGACAATGCCTAAACTACAAGAAATCTTCGCAACAGTTGCCATCGTGTGTCTTCGCTACGAGAGACTCGCTGTTTTGCAAAATGTTTCGCCATTATTCTTCTTTGAGCAAGAAAAGACGGTGAAAAACTTTTCGAAGAAACTGTACACAAGTAAGATAAAGAAGAAGCTAAGATGAAAAGTTGGGTTTGGGACTTAAAAAATGCCTAAACTAGTACAAATCCTCAAAAGGTCAAGCGGTTCGAGGCAGGTATGTGTATCGGTCTCTTTCTTTTCTGATCATTGTATAAAACAAATATATTCCATGTTGCCGTGCGTCTGTTCAGTAATAGATCACAGAGGAAGTCAAAATGTGGTAAAAACAACAGTGACACACTCGCCTGCCGCTCGTGTGCCACTTCTTTGTTTTTACGACATTTTGACGTCATCTGTGATCTATTACTGAACAGACGCACGGCAACATGGAATCTATTTGTTAAATGGATTACGTGAAGAGAGGTGACACAACCAGAGTTTGGCAGTTGACGATGGTTTTAATCTTTCCGTTGAAGTTACAAACTCCTCTTAGCTATCTCATATCTCAAGGCGTTACTGTGAAGCTACTCAAAAGAGGTTCTATTTATATTGAACAATTAACTTAATTGTTTTTTTGCAGTTTTACATGGCACTCATATGCAAGGAAAAGGTGTTAGTAAGTGTCAGAGTTTAGAAAACAAAAGGAACTGAAATTGAGTCGACTCCCGCTACGCGTGGAAGAAATTTGCAAAACTAGAAATATCTCTATACCCAAATTCCTTTACAGGGAACCAAAACGATAGTTTGGAAGAAACTAAATTTTTTCCTAAGATTGTGTCGAAAGAAATTCTAGTTTGAGGTCAGAAAAGTTAGTGAAATTTGGCTAAAACTGGTTCAACAGAGAACACAGAACTCAAAAGATGTTAGGACGCGTGGCCTTAAGTTAGATTTTAATGAGATAAGGAAATCTGATTATGATTCAAGTTTGGAAGCGAAAATGAGAACTAACCCCAGGTTTAAGTAAACGAACTTCGTTAACAGGAAACGCTGGTTATCCTATTCCACAGATGAATGCATCTACCTATTTCTATCTTCTGTACTTGTTTCCGTGTTTCTTGAGTAAGCTTGAAGAGGTGTTTCTTAACCTCAGTTAAACCTTTAGTTGTGAAAGACTGAAACTACACTTATGATGTTTCCTGCAATTACCTTGCGTCCAACTTCTATTTTTGATTGATCCCAACACCAAAGAGGTCGGTGCAGAAAACTTTTAGCAAAGGACTTACTATGACCAGCAAAGGTTTGCTATTAAAAACTAAAGTGTGTCCAGCTGTTCTGACAGCTTGTAAACACCAACCTTTGTCCGGCCTTAACAAAAGATATTTGAGGTAAGGTGGAACTTTTGATTTCCGAACCGACCTAAAAACAAATTTATTTATATAACATATATCCCTGAATAAAGTTAAAATGCCCAACACCGAAATAAATAGAATAAACTGAATGAATATTAACGATTACGAAGAGAAGCGCATGCAATGAAGCAGACTGAGCAACAATGTACCCTAGCAGTAAACATAAGACTTACACAAAAGCAAAATGTAAAATGTGATTAAAAAAAAAGAAATCTTCACCAGCATCGAAAAATACTTCAGCTTTTAAGGGTCTCAAAGTTCTTCGGCTAACCGTTGATCTTCCACTTAATACATGAAAAACTGTATAATGCAGTAACTTAGCCTGATAAAAGTCAACATGTTCTGACTCGAAGTGACTTTATTTTACTGTCCTCCCAACCAGAACTTAGTTGTAGAGTTGGGACCTGAAGAACAGCGGTGTAACGGATTTGCAGAGGAATACAAACCAAAGTTATCTTCACTAGCAACTGCCCCTTCTGTTGCGTTTAATTCGCAAAAAGTGAGGCCAGTGTCTGTATGTAAAGCAGGGGAATTCCAGAGAGGTGCCGTACAGTTAAAGCATTCGTGTCCCCGGATGTTAATGAATTCGAACTGGAAGCAAATATTAGGAGGAGTACCTTCCGGCAAGGTAATTATATCGCAGTTTGCAAGGGATGTTCTCATGTAATCCGTGTACACAACCCCGTTGGTATCATAGCGACAAGTAGCTCGCCAGTGAGTGGACTGGGTTCTAAGCCACACAAGATAGATAGGGTGTATCAGGTACGCATGCCAGTTTGGTTGATCGTCGCTGATAGCATTGGTGTAGCCAGAAAAGATAATATTCTAGAAATCAAAAAAGAAAAACCGAATTGAAGTCACCTCTATTGTCCTCGTGACCTCGCTTTTATTTACTTTAATATATAATTATTTATTCATTTATTCAAAATGTTAAAAACCTACTTTAACAAAAGAACTGACTTAATCTGACGATTTCCAATGAAGTGTCCTTAATTTTGAAGGGACCTTAAGATCCGACGGCGGCAACGGCAACGAGAACGTCAAAAAAGCACTAGGTTTATATAATAATGGTAATAGGACTGAGTGGAGTCCAATTCAGTCTGTAATCATACGAGTGAGTGTTTACCTGTGTTTGGGACAATCTGAACGACTGAATCAAGTTCCATGCAAACCCAGGCTCAGAGGCAAAGTCACAGAACACTTGGAAGGATTGATTGCTGTCATCAATGATTGTGTACAATCCAGAACTCGTTTCTCCTGCCGTTTTATAGGCCTGGCAGCTTTTTCTTTCAAACTCACAGTGTCTGCCAATAAACTTTTCAGGACAAGAACAGTTGTACCGAACACTCGTGGGCTCACAAATTTCTGCGCATGCTCCCCCATTTTGACAAGGATTCTTCTTGCAGCAGCCATTGACGCACGTGACATCACCATCACATGACTTCGCATGGTGATTCTAAAAAAGTGGAAATCAAAGTGTAATAATGCATAGTTAACATGCAGCTGTAAGATGTCTTCGAATATGCCAGCCTGGAAGTTTTATATGCGTAGTGCACATTTACGCCAATCTATGTACTAGACACCAGCCGAGAAAAAAAAAAGAAAACCTTAATTTTTTTATTACTTGGCAGTCTGACAAATGAGAGTGACTTTTTATGTGTATTCATTTCGTCTGGCCCGTGAATTTTATTCTATAATTTTATTCTTACATTGGTGAAACCGGCAGAAACCTAAGCACGCGACTGACCGAACACAAACGAGCTACGAAGAATGGTGACGTCAACAATCACATTGCTGAGCACCATTTAAAGACGAAACGTCAATAACTGACCCTGAGACGCTGTACATATTGCATAAGATGTCTGATGATAGTTGCAGAATGAAATCTTTCGACGTTTACTAACTTAGAACAAACGCCACTGAATCGTAGCCAACAGTTACCAGCGCCGTACATACGACTTATTGACGAGATCAAGCAAAACTAACTACGAGAGAATGACAATTTGACTAACAACAGAAGACTGTTTAACTGTGACAATAGACGGATCGAAACACACCTATTATTGATTACGAGTCTTCATATAGCCAATGACATCACGGCTTAACTGACAGACGACCAATAACATCACGACGTAATTGACCAATCAGATCAATAACCAGAGTATAATACCATCAACTGACGTGATACAACTCACTTTGACTCTGAGGATGACTACCGCACAGCTTGTCGAAACGTCAGTCACTGTCAACACCTATTCAGGACTATGTTCACCCGGACGATCAAACTCAACCTATATTTTTTTGAAATGACTCCTGGGTTCAAACCTTTCACAGTTCTATAAATACTGTTTCCAAAATATATCGCCTTCTTTTCAAAGAGAGAGTGGGTCAAACAGAGCGAGATTAAAAAAGCGCTCGTTATCAGATTAGTGTTTTTTTGTTCTTGCTTTAATTTTTTATCACATTTCCCCCCTTTTTTTCGTGCAATTTGGGATAAATGAGCACTTGTAAATTTTTCAAAGACCACAATGTTTATTCTTAATTGCGCACGAAATCATGTGATACCCTACACAAAAATGAACGTTAATTAACCTATGCAGCCCGCCACGGGATCGAGAGCTCTATATTCGCAGGCTAGCCAGGCTCAGGTGGCTAGTTCCTAGCAGTAAGATGGTCACTTTATTTGTCCTGGTTAACGTATATCATGAAACGAAGCACAATATCACGCCAGCTTCGCCCCATGTAACAGGGGCACCCAACGACAATTTTCGGAAAAATATCTCTTCGGAAGACGATTTGAGATCTAGAATTTTCGGAACATTTGTTGTAAATTTTTTTGCTTGCCTGCCTCTCCTAGCATTTTCGAACATCTAAGAAATGGTAAAGTTGCCCATTTTCAACGGATTTTTACCCTAAAAAGGTCACCTAGAATTTTCGGGAGCCTTTTTTTTGGCTGAAATTTTCGAACAGGTAAGTTTTGATCCCTATAATTTTCGGATCACTAGACTTTCAGTTAGGAATTCCGAACAGATGAAAAATTTATAGGGGATAAAAATATGCCCATATCCACCGTTAAAATACTAAAATACGTTTAACAATGCTATGTTTAAGTGGTTTTGAACCATATTCTCGTTGGGTGCCTCTGATGTAAGGGAATTCAAAAACGTATTGAATTGTAGATTCCAAGCTGTGGATTCCGGATTCCAGGAACTGGATTCCGGACTTTGACGGTGGAACTTGGATTCCAGTTTCCAATCGTTAGTGGTATTCCGGATTCCAAAGCCCAAATTTCCAAATTTCCCTGATTCTGAAATCCGGGTTCCCTTACATGGAGGGACCAGCTGCTTCCGACCACCATTCCATTGGACAAAAAGGATTCCAAATTTAGAGGCATTTTTGCCATATCAGAATGCCTAATAAATTCAAAAATCTTCCCTGTTTTTACATTTTTAGGTGCACGATTATCGAATATGAATTGGTCCTGGGCCAAATGACCGGAGACGCCGTTTTCTAGTGCAATGCAAAATGACCCACTTTGCAGCATTGGAAGAATTGTTTGGAAAAAATTCATTCTCGAAAATGCTTAATTAATTATTTATAGCGGAAAGGTAATTAGTATAAGGTATGACTTGTTTTGAAATTGTTAGGCATACTTTTAAGACGAAATCAAGTCATAATAACAAAGAAGCATATTTTGAGATGAAAAGCAGTCACCCACAAACTACATTTTAGAATTAAGATCTCCTGGGAAAAACTGTAACAAGCTTAAAGCTTGCACAGATCTTCCAGCTAATAGAAACGTTTGAAAAATAATGAGAATAAATATCACACATTTGAAGCAGTGTGTTAGTTAGTTAGTTTGGTTTTTTTTATTGCGACTTTAAAAAATAAGCCATTTTTTTCTTTCCAATTAGATGTGACAATTCGCCCACACTCAGTTAATAGGATTTTCTCAATATAACCAGGCTTATACAATTTATAATACATTTACGCGATATTCCATTGAAAAACAGTTATGACATTGACTGCTTAAAAATGGGTTCATTACCATTGGTTATATCAATGGCTTACTTTTTAGAATCAATGTTAAAAAGCCAGGTATAGGAATTGCCCATCAAATAATTCCATTATTGACTATTAAGCAAACATGACTGATTTAGGTGAAGTTAGTTGTATTAAAAGCTTGTTTGTCTCACGATAAAGTAAAAACAAAAGCAAACTAAAACATTTTGTTCTTGATCGCGACGTGCTTGCCTTCATCAGGCAATGCCCAAAAAGGACCAGCAGTACTCGGTGTTTGAAAACTTTGCGTTTAATAGAAAAGTGACTAACGCGAGGAAAACTTTTAGCGAGTCTATTCCGTACACATGTGACGAAGAAAATTGAGAATTGAGAGTTTTACAACTATTATACCTTCTGGCTGAATTCCCTTCGAAGGTTGTAATAACGCGACCCAGGAGAACTTTTGAGAGAGGTCTGGTTTATAAAGTGGCTGCCTTCATTCAACTCGCAAACGTTTCCTTCGTTATTTTCCTTGTAGTTGAACGACAAACATCGACAGTCATCTACACACGAGCTGTGGCAATGAATTGCGTTTCTCGTTGGGGTCCTGTGAAAAACATGGTCAACCAACTCTGTGTTCTCCATGGCATCACCGTAGATATCGAGGGCATATGTTTGACATTTCCCCTCTACAGAGATCATTAGTTTTGACAAAACCAAAATGGAGGAGTAATATTATCAGCACTATGTCTACTTCCATCTCCAAACATGACATTCGTACTCTTGTTCTCTAGACTGTAAGTGTCAAGGCAATGAAAGTGGGTTGATTGTTGGTGTGCGTGTATATGTTATATCTGTGTTAATGTTTAATTTATTAATAATTAACTTTATTTTGAAGGATCTTATTTCGCCTATCTGACTTTATTTGCAAAAACTCCCCTCCAGAAATTACAGCCATTTGGCGGGGACATGGCCAAAAAGCGATAATTTGAATCCGCTTGATAAACCCGGAAATTACACAATAGCGGAAAAAGGGTGACGGTAGTGTTGGACAAGAAAAGAAAAAAGATATGGTAGCACCTGTTGTTATAATGGCTGCATGAGAGATAAGGGTTTTGACGACAAAGCATATATTCTGGAAAATGAGCTGGTCCTGGAACAAATGACCAAAATCGCCGGTTCCTAGGGCAAAATGGTCCAATTCTCAACATCGAAAACTGTCGAAAGTATTCATTAAAACCAACTGATTGTCTCTAAAATGAGCTTTAATTATTTATACCCTCCCAAGTTGACGTGGGAATTATAGGAACGACGCACGAAGCCCTGAAGAACGGCTTCATGGAAGAAAAAAGTTTTGGTGACAGCAACAACGCTTTTAGCGCAGTAACGTTGTAAAAATTCGAGCTAGATATATTCTAAAAAATGAACTGGTCCTGGGCCAATTGCAAATGACTAAGACCGCATGCAGGTTTCTAGCTAGCCCAAATGGTCTAATTTGCAACATTAAAAAATTGGTTTTCTCTAGAATGGGCTTTAATTATTTATTATGGAAAAGCAAATACAGTAGAACCCCGATAACTCGAGTTCGGATAACTCAAATTTCCTTTCCCTCGATCAAAAAGCAACTGAAATTTACCCCGATAACTCGAATTCTGGTTCTTTTAACTCCACTCGGATGCTATCTCATTAGCTCTTGATAAAGGCACTAAAACTATCACTGGTCAACTCTAAAGCAACTTGATTTTAATTGTTGAAACGAACAAATTACGTTTTATCATAAAAAAATGCCTAATCATGTTCTAACCGTTTCTGATGAAATGATTGAAATTTGCACTGCACCAAACACAAAAGTGCTGAAAAATCAGTAACTATTAATTCTAAACATAGCAAATTGAATTTTGAAATCGATCCCGATAACTCGAACCTTCGCTAACAGAGTTCGAGTTACGGGGGTTCTACTGTATTAGTAAAATCCAACTAGTGGTCTATTATCAATTCTGCACTCTGGTTGGTGGAAATGTTACTAGGCTATATGTTATAGCCCACTAGTAGCGAAAAGCGCCGGCTTTGAAAACCAAAAATATGGCGGCTGAATCGCGTTTTGCTAGCTAATTAAAAGTTGTTTTCTCGCGATATTTTTGACCAAGTAGTTGGATTTTACTAAAACAATTCCTTTTGCACCTCTTGACGTCAGAGTCAATAGCCCATTCGGTCTTCGGCCTCATAGGCTATTGACTCAGAGCCCATTAGAGCTCGAAGAATAATTGTTAATTAGTTTCCTACACCTTCGCGGGAATTATAGGAACGAGCTCGAGGCACGAAGCGCTGAAGAACGTCTGCGTGGGGGCTAACTAGGCAATTACCAGCTTTTTTATATCCATTTTGAAATTAATGGTTATCCCTGTAATCTGATTGGCTCTCAGTCGGTGTGATTTATTCACATTATGATTTTGCTCTTAATCACATCTGTTCTAAATGGCGTCATTCATGTTCTAAATCGCGTTATTTCTGTTTTAAATCGCACTATTTTCTCTCTATATTGCATCATCTCTAATTCGGCTACAAAATGAGATGTACAATTATATAATTCGTGTCGTGCGATTTTGGTCTGAAATCATACTCTTGTGATATTACAATCACGCGTATGATTTCAGACCAAATTGTACTCCACTAAATTCAGTTACCATTATTAAAATCCTGTTTTGAAATTGCATTTACGCACACGCCTTCGTCTTGTTTTGAAATTGTTTTAAGAGACGTATTTTAAGATAATGCAATGATTCAAACTAATTTATATACAGTATTACAGTATACATTAAAACAGTTTTGAAATGATGAGTATATATAAATTTCATGTTTTAAGACTGTGGATTGAAAAAAAAAAAAAACTTACTCCGTGAAAAGTACCAATTAGCCATTTTTTTGGGGCGGAATGAGGTCAAAACTCGCCTTTTTTTGATCTGATATTTTCCAAATGATCCAAAACGCCTTTTTCTAGTACATAGTGGTTCTCCTTGCCAAACTGGCAGAATTCTTTAAAAACAATTGATTCTAAAATTATTATCACAGTGCGCTTCCAAAAATGTCGGGCAGACTTAACCTCCCATACCAGGCCTATGCATTCTTCGAGATAGTTCAAAGTGCACCAATCACGATGGGTATTAATTTCACTCTCGTGGCTCTGTGGATTCTTTTAGTTTCGAGGGCTAGGTCTTGATACCTTTCCACCATCTCCTCCTCAGTAGCAAGTATACTTTGGTGCTCTGGCTCAGCAATGTCGATACGTGTCCACTCCAGTGTGTCTTTGCATACTACGGTAATATCTTATCGATTGTACTTCAGCCGCTTGTCCGTAAAGAAAGTGATATCTCAAGTTATCCTCACTTCTCTATTCTCTGAAAGTGGTAAGGGTTGACGGTTGTACCACTTGTCGGTACACTCTAACCTGTACTTTCTGCATAGCCCTATAGGTAGGAAATAAACTTTGAAACTCTTGTCTGTTAAACCGTCTCAAGGTAATGTTAAATTCAGCAAAAAGGAGCTACGATAGTCAACGTGGGAACAAATTAACGTTTGGTAGTTTTGTATAACGGTGCTATGCGAAAAACACGCATTGTGCGCTTCCTCGACTGAAGACAATCCGCCATGTTTGCTCGCATTTCTGGATATGATTATTGTGATATTAGAATACTATTAGTATTACTATATCAAGTAATATAGCATAGCTGTTGTTTTGCAATGCAAATGAAGCAATTTTTTAATACTGCTGCTGCTACAACCACTACCACTACTACAACTACCACTACCACTAGCAACACAACCACCACCACCACCACCACCACAATCACTATCACTGCCACTACCATTACCACTACCACTACCTCTACAAAAATGAATACTCTTCATCCGATTAGTAACACCAGCTAAGAAATTTAATGAAATACGGAACTTAGTCAAGTTTAAAAAAAGTAATCAAAAACTTATGATTAAACCAGGTTGATATCAGATCGATCATTTGCCCAGAGAAAATATTGTTTATTGTGTAAGTTAAATCAAGTTGAAAGTGAAACTCATTTCCTCTTTCTTTTCCTTAATACTCTTCGCAGAGACAAGCATTTTTAAATAAAGTGAACGAAATAGCACCTGACATTACAAAAGAAATCAACATCACAAAGCATAAAAGTTCTCATGAACTCTAACGACTATCATCTAAATAAGCTAGTAATGAAATTAATTTCCTCCTGTATGATTATACTTGATACTTTGCTATTGTCAAGTGAAAGTAATGTAACTTAAGTTGATTAATATAGTATATTAATTGAATAGGTAAGCTTTTGCAGTACTGTAAAATTTTACGATCATACAAACAAAGCAATTTAATACTTACTTACTCACTACTACTACTACTACTACTACTACTACTACTACTACTACTACTACTACTACTACTACTACTACTACTACTACTACTACTACTACTACTACTACTACTACTACTACTACTACTACTACTACTACTACTA